ACAAACATAGTATGATAACTAAAATTAATGCGATATAAAATTGAAAATGAACGTATAAATGTATTAATTAAATCAAATTTTTTTGATTTACGTGTATAACTTTGTTTTCTTAATTTGTATACATTTATATCATGAATACGTATAACACTGTATTGAAATGGCCAATCATAAGTAATGTTTGCAAAGGTGAAATAAATCGTAATGTCACATTTTATTTAAAATATTAATTTCGATTTTAGATATTGAAAAGATAATTAAAAGCCAAACTTTTTTAACAAATAGTGGTTGTTTCTTAAAAAACAACTAAGTACGCATGATTATTTTTAGGTAATTCTACATGTTCAAAAATTTTGTTCCTAATTGATATTATACAAAACATGGCAAAATAAATTTTGGAATTGATTTGGATGGAATTGAATTCTCCAATTACAATTTATTTTTGTCATTACCAATTCCAAATTTACATATTTTTGTGATATCAAACTGCAGAATTAAAATTGTTGTCCCAATTTCAATTCTATAATCTGAATTCCGTGTACCAAACCGAGCCTTAACATGAATTCATAAAAAAAAAATCTTAATTCTTCATCTGTGAACTTGCATGGGCAGTGTTGATTCCTTATTGCGATTCTCTTTTGTAAAGATGTTTCAATAGGCTGAATTGAAGCAGCACCCATATTGGCATTGATATGTATAAACCAAACACACCTACCTAAGTATGCGCCCATTCAAAAGAAGTGTGGCTATGGACATTTAAAAAATGGTTATTTTTTGTTAATTTGCTAACACTTGATTTATTGCAGTAGAAGAAACATGCATCTAATGATCCAGAAGGGTAGAGGTGGTGCGAATCAACATTCGGGCAAAGCCCACTAACATGAGATCAAATTCTATAAGAAACATGGCGAAACAATATGAGTGTAAAGACATTGAATGGAGTATAAATTATTCAAACATGCAATCTCATTTTAAAAACTAAATGCCACAAAATTTTAAATTTTTAAAATCAAACAACAAAGCATCCAAGAATGATTAATTATAGTATGTCTAACACATAAATTATATTGAATCAAACGGGGTTATTTTTTCTATTTATAACATTCTGCAAGGGGAAAAAATTAATGGCAGAGGAGTTCTGTAACGCCCCGAAACATACCCTAGAATTATTATTAAATAATTATTCGATTAAACAAATTTGTTTTGATTATCATTGGGCTTTGGGCCGATATGAAATATTTTTTTTAATATCCAATATCAAAATCTGGATAAGTCTAATCAAGATAAATCCAATATGTGGACTATTTGTGTGGTTTTGATTTGGAACCTGAGTACAGACCCAAATCAAGAATAAATAAATTAATTAATTATGATGTGAACTTTGTAATGATTTATTGAAATAAATCATGAGAATAATTGATATGAATTAAATGAGAGAACCTTTTATGAGAAAGGTCAATTAAACCAATTTTGACTCTGTTAAAGTCAAACACCCAAAAATATGATGTCGGAAAAAGTATTACAAATAATTATGAAAAGTATATCGTTGGATAGAGCTCGACTGTCTGATCGTAACGGTTCAATCGGATTTCAATTTGGAGAAAGTTGGACCAGAAAGTGTACCCCAATTGGGACCAGAAATTAGTCCCAATCAGGGACTACACTCCAATCGGCGCTCACTGTACAAACGGCGCACTATCCGAATTTGGTGACTCAGGAATATTTCATCCATGTCTTCTTCTCCTTCCTTCCTCTATTTAAGAAATCTTTATTCCCTCAATTCTTCACCAAATCATCCCAAAATTCTCT